TTTTTTTTTCCGTAACTACAATCCAATTCTTCGCTTGCGCGATGCGAGAAAACCAGTTTAACCGGTACTACAATAGACGAGTACAAATACCGCGTGATATTTGTACTCGTCTTTGGCGTTATTCGTACTCGTCTAGGTGTAGTTGGATAATAACAACGGTTATCACTTGTCTTACGACGTAGTCATCTGTGAGGCTGACCATGACGACGACGCTTTAATGAGTACAGCTGCTTTTCTTCGCATTTTGAAGAAACATATTTTTAAGAGTCGAGGTAACAGATGCTTCTCATGAGAACTTCTTTGATCAGGCAACTATTTTCTTCTATTAAATTTTGAGCTCCGGCATCTCACCGGATTCTATACAATTTTCGAACAAATTAAGTAATTATAACTGAGAATGAATTAACAATACAAAGACAAACCCATGTGATGAACAGCAAAACAGTGATTGGTATTGTCGATACATGTCGTCTCATTACTTGACACATTCATGGAAGAATGTCTGCCTCTTTTGACACAGTTTTAATATGGGCGGACCTTTATTACTATAATAATAGTAATAATAATTGATCATTGTTATTTTTATTGACATGGACACGTGGTAGTAGATTTTGTGGTGTTTTATTATGTGGGAATTTATTTTGGTGCAAAACTTTTATGGCACCTGGTACCTTGGCTACGACAACCGAACCACATGCTGCAATGCATGTCAAAGATTTGTCAAGATTTGTCACGATTTGTCTTATACTGAAGAACTTGGTGACCTTTCAACGGGTACCACAAAAGAGATGCTAAATTTCGTCAGGAAATAAGTAGAGGCATTACCCTTTACAACGACGCAACAAAGGGGGACGAGCTTCTGGTTCTCATTCTTGAAACAAAATCACTCAATCGATTTTTTAATATTGGTAAACAGCGACAGAAATTGCAGTGTATCTCCGTATCACTGTTGCACCGTTGACCCGAAAAAGACATGTAACCTTTCTGGTTATCTAAAGCTACATTTTTAAACAGGTCAACTTTATAACTATTTCATGATCCAGTGCAAAGACGTAGATCTGAAATTTCACACTGGTTATTTGTTTCAGAGTAAACCTTCTCATGTTTCCTCTGAGTACAAACGGAGAAGCATTCAGCCATTTGCTTTGTTTGACTGTTTGCTTTATTTTTCAGTTCCGTGCAAAGGACAGTGTATCGTCATCAGTCGCCATCTGGTCACCAACAAGTGCGGATTTTAAGACTTGTAGACTCACTACTGAAGGCAAAGAAAAGTTCCTACACGAGCATAACAAATTTCGCGGAATGGTGCAACCAAATGCGGCCGACATGGAATCTATGGTAAGTAAGGAAGACAACATGAATGTCGAGATTTTAGGGCTAAATTAAAATCTTTGCGCTTTCAGGTTTTAACAAGTGAAATGCTCAGATGAAAACTGTGTGCCTTCGCTCTCACGCGTAAATCTTAACTAAGTGTATTTCTTTCCAGTTGCCAAACAAGCCAGTTATCTTGCTTATTTTCGCGCGAGAAGATTTGGAACGACTCGGGAGATCACTTTCCATTTATTCATCAGTATTTTCTCTTAGGACAGAAAACAAGAATCAATAAATAAATTGCGCAGCGGTGTGTCTCTACTGTCACCATCCTCAGCTATATCGATACAATACTTCAACTTAAAGTATAATTATGACTACACGAGTTAAGTAGCAGTGATAAAGCAAATTTGATCAGACGAAAACATGTTTAAGAATCAAAAGAAAAACAAAATGGAAAGGGAAATCAAAAAGGCGAAGGGAATCAAGGTCAAGTCTCGAATCGATGATGCTCTTGTGGTTGGTGAAATCTGGCGCATCCTGTTCTATTTTCTGAAGCATGAGCGACTCGAAGTATCGCTTCTCCCCTAGAACAGGATTCAAGTGCCTCACGAGCTACTCCCCGTCCCCGCCTCTCCCTGCAGTTTGCTGATATACGTTCTCACTTGTGAATGAGAACGAGGATCACAGAATGCCCGAATGATCGTATATCAAAGAAATGTTTGGTACTGAGCTCATCGTTTCATGAAAGCAACGTTGTACAGATTTCCTGAAAAAAAACCCTGAGAAACTTAACGCATACATGTGAGACTTGAGCTCAGTCAAAGCAAAGGCCAGGAGAGGAAACGCAAGGGTAGAGTGTCTTGAGTACAACGCCAATCAAAGCCAGCTTGAACCCTTTCGTCTCGGAATGCCAACCTTTTATCATCTCTGAAAGAACAGAAATCCGTTTTGGCAAGTGTAAATGAAAAGGCGAAAAGCCTTCACTTCTGACTCTGAACGTCTTCTTCCCTGTGTCTTCGATGTTTGAGGGATTGTCATTATTTCGCAACTACTGCAGTCAAAGTAATTTCGATCCACGCTTTAACATGACAACTAGCTGGTGGTATTTGTGGTATTTAGGGTATAAAGCTAGTTTGATCAGAACCAGTTCTGTGCGCCGACAGAACGACAAGGCTTTTCGCGAGTAACACAGTTCGACCCTCAATTCACAAGTTTACGAACTATATCCATCAGGATATCAGACTTTGGGTAACACAGAGATGAAAAATATTTACTAGTGGATGACACTAGGTATAGCTAGTGATAGCAATAAGAAAAAGCTTTTGGGTGATAAAACTATCCATCTATAATGCAAGATCCTTCGCAGTAGATAGCGCTATTTATGCAATAGCGAAAATCAGACCTGAAAAAAATCAGGCCTGTACGGGATTCGAACCTTTGACCTCTGCGATACTAGTGCAGCGCTGCACTAGTATCGCAGAGGTCA